TTGAAAAAATAAATGTACCTAACCCCACATTGCTAACATTTCAGGTAATGAAGACATCCTCCATTTTTATCTGGATGCCATCGTAGTGCTTTTCTCTGATATGCCGTTTTCATCCGATTGAAAAAGCAAATATGAATAGTAGGTAATACGTCGCGAGTGATTAGAAATTGACTTACCACTTTTTTAGTAGCCATAGTTTTCCTTTTAATTGCAATTTCTTTGGTAGATGATAATAAATAATCCCGTTGTCTTTCATAACTACCTAATCCCCAAAAATTAGAAAAAATAATATTTCTCTCTTCTTCGGTGATTTTATTCGTACACTTGGTAGGACATTTTTAATTAGCGCAAGGGTTACTTTGAACTTTCTTACCATTACCATGGACACGATTGTGTTTTTCCTTCATTTTTTTATTAATAATTTTTGGCTTTTTCAAACCACTTTTTCCTATCTGTGTTAGTTCATCAACAATAACAACATCATTGCATTCTAAATCACTACTTGAAGTTTTTTTTATCGGATTCTATAGATGGAATTTTGAAAAGTTCTCGTGAACAACTAGGTTTTTGACAAGTTATAATAATATCACTAACATAAGAAACAGTAAATGAAGTATTTTTATTCAACACCATACCTGGTGGTAACCAATCTGTTGTATCTCTAGTACACTCTGACGGACATAATGTCGGTGACGTATCAGATAATAATGTATTTTTAGCAATAATATTATTTTTGGTAACAGGAACTTCAGATTTTTTATAAACGTTTAACTCTTTATTTTCAACTGCCATAATATCTTTATAAACTAGACCATTAAAAAAATTAGCACGATCAAAACTGTTATTTCATAAAAATATTTTTTAGACAAATATTTGAAAAGTTTTTTCCGATTTTTGATATCTTGTTCCAATCGTCCAATATCGCATGGTAAATTATAACGGTTTTTAAAATTTTTTATTGATTAATTATTTAGCTAATTAATAAAAATATCGAAAATCGGGCTTCTTACTATTGTAAAAAAAGTTCTACTCTACAATTTTTATAATAGGTATTTTTACTGTAAACTAATTCAATAAGCCGTATTACTTGAATTACGAAACCATGGTTTTATGCCATATTTTGTCAACTAGTGCGCCCTCTTAAGTTGGAAAACATAAAAATACACTTATAAAATATATGTATTCTTAGAATCTTATAAATTTTGTTATGAGCATTATTCTGGGTTAAATTATATTCAGTGATTATTATCCTTATGGTATTAGCTTATCGATTATAAATTAATAGCTTTTCTCTTGTTACCTCACCTCCCATGACCTGATTGTATTAGTACGCATTTGATTGTTATCTATATTTTCTTATTATTATATTGGATACAGTATACTATAATAGAAACTAGGTATAACATCTTTAAGATAATTCTATGTGTAAGTAGGAACTTTGGATATTAAAGATGTAATCAAATATACATTTCGTCAAAATTACGTATGCTACTGAATCGTTGAAATGTGTAATACAGTGGTCCAAATAACATACCAATCCACAAGTTTCCAATAAGTTCGGCATTCTACAATTTTTTTTAACTTTTTGATATTATTTCTGTTGATTTTGCGGTTATGTTAAAATACTCTGAAATTTCTCTTATCCTTAAACGTTAAATTATTGTTACATCTGTAGATCCGTTCCATAGTACTATTATAGGGTCTATGTTTATAGTGTACAAGTATCTTTGAAGATAAATCGTCGCCAACTTTGCCCCCCCCCCCTGATGGTTAATACTACTGTATAATTATTCCAACAAAGGTCTCATCAAGTTTTGTTTGTGGCAAAATATTCTTTTCATTACCTACAATACATTTTCCAAGTCATAGCGCCTGAACCTTCTCAACTTATCATCTTGTACAAGCACAAGATGGCCCCCCTCTAGTTTTAGTGGTTTGTACCTATCCAAGTTGTACACCAATTGTATTTTATTTTATTAAACGTAGTGGATTTGAAATCCACTATGAAGAATTGGATCTGAGAACTAAAATATAAATTACATTATTTACCTAATAAAATATATTATTTTTTTTCCTACTTTTTTTATTAATTATATATAAAATATATTATTCTTAACACCTCAAGCAAGAACTTATTTCTTTAAATTATCAATAGACATAATAGGTCTTGCAATTAGTTGCTCTGATAGTTAAACAAACCGAATTGTTTACCTTTTTCAAACATGGAAAAAAACATTATTAACAGAAAATTGAAAAAATAAATGTACCTAACCCCACATTGCTAACATTTCAGGTAATGAAGACATCCTCTCTCTTCTTCTAGAATGTCCTTAACTAACCTTCTTCCCACATTCATCTTCATTGTTTTTATCGATGGTCAACCTAGCACCATGTCATATGTTATATTAAATATTATTTTGCTGTTGAAATGTACTACAAACGTTTACTTGTTGTAAAGACTGGCGACCTTCACACTTCTGAAAGTTTCCATATTATATAAGAATAGTTTCAATTATTATATCAAGTAAAAACAATTTTATGCTTGTAGATGATTATTAATTCATAAGTACATTTACTGTATAATAGTAACATATTTAGTTAACTGAAAACAATGAATGTTTGATACAATTTGGATCTGAATTATGAATTAAAATTTTTTATCTGGTTTTTTACATTAACTACAAATAAATTATTTTTATAATAAAACAAAATGTTTGAGTCTTTATTTTATTACTACATTATAAATTTATTATTAATTGTGTATACTTATATAACAGCTATTTGTTCTTATCTACCATAATTGCATTAACATTGATACACATTTGTTTTAAGTTAAAACAAATAAAAAAGATGCTTTATACGTGTCATTATTATTGTGTATAATAATTATTGTCAGTTTGATAATTCAACTGATAAATGGTCAAGTTATCTGTGATTTTATGTATTATTCAATAAATGCATATGTATGAGCCCCTGGCGTGGTCTAACAATTCGCAAGCTCTAAAATGTATATTTGAATAAACATGTTTGGTTGGTTGTACATGTTAGCTAATTAGCGTATGTGGTAAAAGCTTGTATGTGTATTTATACACATCTGGTATATTATATGTCTAAACACAATGGTGTTATAGGACACACGGTATATTATCAGTGAAGAAGTTTATAATGCAATGTGTAGTAAAGAATTATTTAGAAAATAGTTGTTATATAGTGTGTATAATAAGTTTTATTTTTATTCTGTACAATAAAATAATTTACTGATCAAATAAGTTTTATGTATGGTTTAGCTATTATTATTGCTATTGATTGGTATGTAGTAAATATGTAAACAACCATCTATAAATATAAATTACACTACTAGATAATATTGTATTAAAAAAATAAAGAAAATATTATTTGTGTTACAATGTTAATATTATATATTGAACCATTATTTAAAAAAAAAAAAAAATATTTCTTTTTTTATATATTATATCATACTAGCTTATATAAGTTGTTGTATGAAAAATTATCGTTTCGAAGAGTTTAAATTGAAGAGAAACAATTATAAAATCATCACAAGCATAAAATAACTTTGATATTTGATATTTTTATTATAAAATAGCTTGATTATTAGTTTGGTTATATTTTCTCGATATGTTTTATTATCAACAAAAAATAAAGAATTTTTACAACGTATTTGTGCTGGGTTGTACAATCAATTCCTACATAGTGTCGAGTTTAAATCCAATATACACCAGTTTGTAAAATATCATCCAATATTTATGAATTTAAATTAATTTACATTTTTTCAACTATCCAAATAAAAAATTAGATTTAATCGTAATTTGGAATGTAGTTGGCTATTTTTGTATTGTTTGAATACAATCCGAATATGCGATGGTCTTCTACAACATTTTCTACTAATAGAGTTTCATTTCCTCTTCATCACAATTTCTAACTTGGAATCTGAAAAAAGCAAAAAAACAGATGACTTCAGTGGACTATTTAGGTCCAGAATTTATCTTTTACTTTTAAATATATAAATACATATAGAGTAATTACATTATAATATTATATTATTATATTATTAGTCTTTAATGAATATTATTTTACTTCTTAACATTAAAGACAATTTTTTATTTTTGTCCAACTATAGTTACATTCTATAAAAATAAAGTTATGTATAACGTACTTAATATTTTTCATATTGTTTGTCGGGACCAACGATAAATTTCTACACAGCCAATTCACATATTATATAAATTTATATATATTCTATATGTATATAAATTCACATATTATTTAAATTTATATATCTATATATATAAAAGTAAGTGGCAGGTTCTATTATCCTTATGATCTCGAAAACTACCTGACCGATTTACTTGAAATTCAACATAGATATTCAGCTACATCTGAGGAAGGTCAGAACCGACATGAAAACCCCACTCGATGTCTTTCTCGGTCACCAGGTCGAGACGACTTTATGTATATATTTTAATGTATATTTTATAACTATTATGTTTCTATGGAAACTGTTTGTTTATAAGCCACTCAGTGGCGGAATTATGGTGATATATCCTCCCCCAGAAGCCTTTTTTTTAGAATAACCATGATTAAATTCCCGTAAGCACTTGGTTTTAAAAGATTTTAATATAAGAAATATTTTAAAATGAGAATTAAGAATTCATGGATATTATCATAGTTGAGATTTTTTTATTTTACTAGTACCTATAAAACTACGATAGCTCAATAATTACAATATATGACAAGACAATTGTTCCTACAGCTCACGAAGTAAGATACTGCTAGCCGTCGTATCACGAAGACGTTGACGATCTTGTACGATTACCGAAACGCGTGGAAGCCAATGACGTGACTCAGGTTCTCTACTCGACTGGATCAGTGCTCGGTAAGATTTTTGGTCGTCATTGGTTATTGCCACGTGACTCCAGTACGGGTAATGCTGTGCCCTCCGTTGTGTCGGATGGTGTTTGACGTAATTGTCAGGTTTACCGTTACAACGACTCCAACGTCGGTAACACTTTGTGTTTGTCTACTCCCCTATTACCATAGCATTGGAGTGACAGTGACACATGTTGAGAGACCTTTTTGAATCCTCTGTCATTTTCGGAGTTGAAATTCCCGGTTGGTGTTTTGTTGGAATTGGAAAAAAACCCGTATTTTGGGTTTTGGAAAATCCCGGAATTGTTCGGTACTGGGTATTTTCCGAACTGGTTTTTTGGTAAAACCCTAGGACTAATTTTGTATTTTGCCCAGCCCGCTTCGTGTGTTGGTTCAGATTCCCTACTTCCAACGGGGTCGGTAACGGTATGACTTTTGGTCGTCATTGGTTATTGTCATTCGACTCCGCTGTTGGTTGAGGTTGTGCTCTCCATTGGATCTGCTGGTGTGACGTCACTGTCAATTTAACCAGACTCACTGACTCCTAATGTCGGTAAAACTTGTGCCCTCGATTGGGTCAGCCAGTGTGACGTGATTTTCGATTTAACCGGCCTTAACGACTCCGACGTCGGTAACACATGGTGCCTGCCTACTCCCCTATTTACCATAGCATTGGAGTGACAGTGACACCGGTTGGGATACCCTATTAAACCTTTGTTCACTTGCGTGGGGAAGTACCGCTAAACTTTGCGAGCTTGGTCTTCAGGACGCGTCTGATTGCCGTTGGCTTCAAGGCGCCTCCACCTTGTATAGACCGTCGGCTGTAGTCTTTTAGTCTTGTCCGCTGTCCATTGCCTTTGATATTATTTCTTCGACATTGATTTTTGACGTCTACTTTTCGGGAGGGGTTTTCCCGACGTTCGTGATGTGCCGATTGTTGTTGGTCTTGTTCATTGGTGTGTGGGTTTTGCCCGCATGTTTAAATCATGTTGAAATGCTTAACGAGTATAAAATAATACATACTTTATCAACTATTAGCCCGTTTTTAATAGCTTGTCGGAGACTACGGTAATGTACGACATAATTTTTCTTTGACTAAAAAGTCGCAATAAGTTTTTTTTACTTTTGAACCTGCAGGTATTCCGTTTTCGGGTAAACATGGCAGATCATTATGTTTATCGTTATGTTTATCTACCGGATACGTTAAGTCGACCTCGTACATCCGCCCTATGGGGGAGGTATCATCCAAGTTGTTAAGTCCATCTAGCTTGGCTTCAACCCACTTAAAACCTCCAGTGGGCATTTACTGACTCATAGCCCATCCGTATAGGTTGTTACCTGTAAAATTAAAAAATAAATAATAAATACAATTTTTGAAAAAATAAATTTGAAAAATTATACTTACAATATTGGTATATAAGCCACGATTTCTCCTAAGTGTCGTCATAATCTGGTACCTTCGGGTTACTGGCTTTAGCATAGCGCATGCTAGCCTGTACCAATCCACCCCGTATACCTATAATATAATTTATTTTTATATCATTTAAAAACTAATTTTTCTAATTTACATACCTTTTTCTATACATAGTAGCATGTCATAATCGGTTAGAAGACCTATTTTTATCGATGTATATTTCAACATGGAATCACAACTGAAAACTGGGGCCGTATAATAAAAAGCTGGTTCTAATTTGTACGTGTTCATGCATAGATCTCGGAAATTTTCGAAAACGTTCGCGAGCAACAGCACATTCACTTTCAGGTACAAATCAGAATAATCCCCAAGGGTTTGGCACCCAAAGTGTCTCCACACCTCCATAGCGTGATCATAATGCTTGTTCTTTATCCCCTTCTCCTTAAGGGTACTATAAAAATCATGTTTCGATGGTAGTCCCGGCTCGTCCAACTTATCCCAGCCGTCCGTGTACTCGTATGGATATACACACTTGCGGGTGACAAAAGGCATATCACCGGCATCAAAATATTTTGCAGTCTCGTGGAATTTCGAGAAATCTGGAGTCAAGAGGTTTTTCGCGAGACTACTCAACTTTGACGGCATAAACCTACACGTGTCTACAAACCGTATGGTAAACGTCCTACTTATATATTTTGAAAATGTTTATTTTTATTTATGTTGTATATCAACGGGTAAATACCCTTTTACAAATTATATAAAGGAAACATATTAGTTAAAAACTAATGTTGTAAATTTCTCTTCACTAATTGCAATAACCCTAATACTGTTAGCGTCATAACACAACTCAGTCACAATGAAATGGGCGTCATAATTCGACAAATTATGAAAAAAAAACACGGGACGAATTTTGGTTGTTTTAATTTTAAATTACAATGGGCACATAATGATTGCCTAAATCTACCAGTCAGGTGACAATGATCGCTAACTTTTTCATTTGTATCGAAACTACGTTTACAAAAATTGCAATGTTTGTTAGCATTATGTGTTTGCGTATCATCGTCACTCATAACTATAGGGATATTGGCCTTTAACAATTCCTCTATTTTATGCCCTAAGTCTACGATACTGATGTTGATGTCTTCACAAGCAAAAATATACTTATAACATTAAATTTTAATACATTAATAAAAATATTGAACACTGTGGTTACTTATAATATGAAAAAAATATTACTTTTTGTACATAAAATCTGTAACAATATTTGAACTTTCTTCGAGGTTTTTTAAGGTACATTATTTTAAAAACACGGTGATACTTTCAAAATACCGAATGAGTACTTGAGGCCACCTGTTTCTTACAACTTCCGATTTAAGCATTACAACCGTGTCTATATCTCTCCACTTAACCGCATAGTTGAGGCTGCCATGTATTAATATGGCATCAATAACTTTTTCTGGCTCAGAGTGGTTGCTAAGGTGGCAAAAGTTGTTGGTGACACCCTATGAACATAATTTGTTATCAGTTATTACATATTATAAGTATTAAATATTTAAATAAGTAATAAACACAAATGGAGTTTTGTCCGACGCCGTTTATCAAATTATGTCCTACTATGTCATACTTATCTCATACTTTTTTTCATATAAATTTATATTTTTCAATAGAACTTTGTTATTATGATTATTTGTCATATTAAATTTTGAATTTTATTCTATTTAAATCATTAAAGATACAATTTTTAGTTCACAAATTTACAGCATTGATTATGAGTATTTTAGAAAAAACAATTGTTTTTATTAATGCAATGTAGGTAAAAACATTTTATCTCTTTATAAGAAAATTAATTCAACGCTAATACCTACATAGGTAACTGTTAGTTTTTTTTTATATAAGTACATTTAGTTGGTAAGCTATTAAACCATTCCTTCTAAACCTAACCTAAACCTCCATTGTTTGATAATTTATTGTGCAATACTTACGTTATTTGTTTTTTCTTTGCTGTTCGACGACTCATTTTTATATTGTGTTAAGTCTTGACCTATTTAATAAAACACATTCATTAATATTACAATAGGTAGTTTCAGTTTTTTTTAGAGAATGCAACCGTGAAATCCGTTGTTTTTCTTCCAATATGTGTTCAAACGATTAAGGTGGTTCTAGACAGTTGGAAAATTTTTACTTAAAGCTAAGTGGCGATTACGATTTCGTTTTAATTAAGAAGACATTAGATAACGAACCACGGAGCCAAGTGGCAAGTAATCCACTGTTTTTTTTTATTGTGTTCACTTGTCATGGACTGTATGGAATATGCAGTAGTGGGCAATGGATACTATGAAGTCAGGAACACAATTTACGATATCTTTGGCCGTGGTCAAGACTCGGGAGTATGGTTGACTGAATAGATCTTTATCACGGTGCTGCCTATAGACATATAAAATTGTGTCTATGGTGCGGCCATAACCAGCTAGGCTTATAATAGTACCTACCTATGGTGGACGTGACAGTGGGAAGAATCAAGGAAAGTATACGAGCTAGCGAAGCCGGGGTAACACCAGCTAGTATTCTATATATATTGATGACATATTGATCGTGACAGCTCTGCACCGCTGTTTATTTAAGTTCTCTTTCTGTAGTTTTAAGTATGGCAGGATCATCAGGTTTTGCTAGTCGACGGAGTGCCTTTGACGGTGGTTGAATTCTCTTGAAAAATCCTATTAACGACTTCCGGAATTGTTGAAAGTTTTTCAGTCCTCCATCGTTGATTCTAAGTGTCTTGTCTTACAGTAACTATACAACCTACTTTGTTGGAATCGCCTACTCGACTCGCCTCCAACTCCTTTGAAGAGCCATACTCGATTGTACAATTGAAGGAGATTTTATTCACAATCGAGTGGCTTATTTAGATATCACCGTGGCTGAGTCATTTTGTACAAAAATAGATGAATTTTATCATAAAGATGTTAGCCCACTTGAATACTTGCCTATTGATATTACTTCTTCTGTTGTATTAGAATATATGCACAATACTTGTTATTGTCATTCGACTCCGCTGTTGGTTGAGGTTGTGCTCTCCATTGGATCTGCTGGTGTGACGTCACTGTCAATTTAACCAGACTCACTGACTCCTAATGTCGGTAAAACTTGTGCCCTCGATTGGGTCAGCCAGTGTGACGTGATTTTCGATTTAACCGGCCTTAACGACTCCGACGTCGGTAACACATGGTGCCTGCCTACTCCCCTATTTACCATAGCATTGGAGTGACAGTGACACCGGTTGGGATACCCTATTAAACCTTTGTTCACTTGCGTGGGGAAGTACCGCTAAACTTTGCGAGCTTGGTCTTCAGGACGCGTCTGATTGCCGTTGGCTTCAAGGCGCCTCCACCTTGTATAGACCGTCGGCTGTAGTCTTTTAGTCTTGTCCGCTGTCCATTGCCTTTGATATTATTTCTTCGACATTGATTTTTGACGTCTACTTTTCGGGAGGGGTTTTCCCGACGTTCGTGATGTGCCGATTGTTGTTGGTCTTGTTCATTGGTGTGTGGGTTTTGCCCGCATGTTTAAATCATGTTGAAATGCTTAACGAGTATAAAATAATACATACTTTATCAACTATTAGCCCGTTTTTAATAGCTTGTCGGAGACTACGGTAATGTACGACATAATTTTTCTTTGACTAAAAAGTCGCAATAAGTTTTTTTTACTTTTGAACCTGCAGGTATTCCGTTTTCGGGTAAACATGGCAGATCATTATGTTTATCGTTATGTTTATCTACCGGATACGTTAAGTCGACCTCGTACATCCGCCCTATGGGGGAGGTATCATCCAAGTTGTTAAGTCCATCTAGCTTGGCTTCAACCCACTTAAAACCTCCAGTGGGCATTTACTGACTCATAGCCCATCCGTATAGGTTGTTACCTGTAAAATTAAAAAATAAATAATAAATACAATTTTTGAAAAAATAAATTTGAAAAATTATACTTACAATATTGGTATATAAGCCACGATTTCTCCTAAGTGTCGTCATA